CCCCTGTGATATTCTACTTACTCCCATCACCTGGCAGAAGGGAAGTACGTGCAGGGGCTGAGGAATATGCCTTTGTCTAAAACCTTCTCCACTTTTCCCTGCATTGGAGAGAAGAACAAGCAAATACCATCTGGTCAAAACAAACTGGGGTCAGAAGCAAAGAATCCAAAAGGGGACCTCTCACACCCACAGTTTCCTGTCCTCACACTGTTCCTCTGTGCCTGGGTTCCTGAAGGCCCAAGACCGAGAAGAAAATGAAGAATGAAAAAGCATGATGGGACTGAGAAACAGACTGAGAAAACTGAGAGGCAGGCCCGGAGTGGTTGGCGAATGGAGCATAACAGGCAAGATAAGCCCAGCTGTGCCATCCAGAGGGAGAACGGAAGGTGAGAAGAGTGCCTGTGTTCAAGGTAAAGACCAGCACGTCCTGAAGGTCATGAAATCTCCATTGCAGCAGAAGTGGAGCGGACATTTCCCAGGAAACCCTATTATGAGAATGTTTCAGGGGTGATTCTTTTCCTCACCTGCCTAGAGGCTTTGTGGAATTATCTTCAAATTGTCCCCATCCTTTGTGTGTGTGTGTGCACGTGTGTGTTCTGGCAGACATTTCTCCCCCTCAAGTCTCTGGAGTGATACCCAGTCCTGGGCTGCTGATGGAGAAGAAAGGATAAATGCCGGGCTGCGCACATGATGGCCATGCTCTGACCTGTGGCAAGAGTGAAGCAAACATGGCAACTGTCGTGAGGTGATCTCACGTTTCAATTAACTCACACAGCCGGCCGTATATCAGCTATAAACTTTTATTGCTACTTTCTACAGGATTTACGACGTAACTGATAAGCTCTACTAATGAGCCCCATGCCCCTTTCTGAGTTCACTACCTTCCTGTCTCGTCTTTCCGCCCGAGGGCGTGACAGACCGCTGTCCCTTTGTCGTAACTGGCTCTGTCTCCTCAAGGCTCTTCTGTTCCAGACAGATGTTAATTCTCCTGCTGAATCCTGTTCAGCAGCTTCAGGGTCTGGAGCTGGGGGTGCATCTTTCTCAGGCAGTCCAGAGCTGGAATCAGAGGGAGCTTCTCTCTCAGACACTTGCCCATCGGTCTGCCGGGGGGGGGGGGGTTTGCGTGCTCAGGGGCCAAGGGATGAGGTGGAGGAGAGGTTTCTTGCTCAGCAGCCAGAGAGTCAGGCTGTGTCTGGGCCGTCTGAGCATTGGTTTTCAAATATAAGTCTCCTTGGTCAACTGCCAAACTCTCGCTGCCAGCTCCTGTCTCTTCCTCGTGAGTAGACGTCCCGGCCGAGGCATCACACACGACAGCAACAGCCATGCAGGGATAGGAGAACACACAGGCGGGATCCATGGGGCTCCACCCTCAGGGAGGGGGCAGGATGGGGGGCCTGCCAGGCATCTGCTCCCCCTCACTGGGCCAAGGACTGGGCCTTGCATCTGCTCCCCCTCCCCTCCTGCAAACCATCCTGCCCCTTCCAAAGCGGCCGGTGCCCACACTGCACCTGAGAAACTACACAAGGCAACCTTGCGGCTTCAGAGTCCTGCCTCCCACTGCTGCTCCCCCTCCTTTCCGATCGGGAATCTCCCTGAGCAGACGAATGAGCGAGAGATGGGCCCCTCGCGCCTCCATTATGGGGTTGGCGCCAGAGCTTGTCTTTCCTTCCACAAACGGGGCCACAAGCCCCCCTCCGTTGCAAGAGAGTGCGAATGGCACGGCACTGACTAAAAAACGAGGACACTGAGGACTCCCAAATCTGTTGCGTGAAGGAAGGGCCGTCCTTGGTGGGGCAGCTCCTCCCCTCCACCCCCATTTTGGTCAGGCCGGCCACTCCAGCAGGGATGGAGGGGGCACCTCAGCCATGTGCAGGAGGGCATCAGGGGCCCGAAGTTTGTTGATGGGGTGGGTTGTCTAAGGAGGGAGGAGCCCAGCAGGGCCTTCTCTGTGGGGGCCCCCCCGCTGTGCAAGACACTCCCAGAGAGGCTTGCCTGGCAGAGACAACATGTTCTTTCCAGCATCAGGCAAAACCCTTTCCCCTCCACTATTTTAATGCTCAATTGATTTTAACTGGGGTTTTAGTGGATTAATTGTCAGATGCTGAGGGGTTTGCTTTATTCTACTCATTTTCCGTATGCCGATTCAAGATGTCTGTCCCGGAGGAGGTAGAAAAGCTTTTAATATTAAATGATAAAAATAACAGGAACGGTTTTAAGTCAGCACACAGCAGTTTAATCAATGAAGCCACTGGATGAATAGACAGCCTTGCGGGTCCCGTCCAGAATTCCTCCCACATCCCATGTCCTGGGGCAAAGCGGCCACCCAGTGGGCTGAATGGGGGAACGATGGGGGCCTCCCACTGCTGCGTGTGTGGCGCCAGTGTGGCAGTATCCCAAGCAGATCAGCCAGCCAGGTCAGCACCCGGAGCTGCGCACTGGCGGGACCCACAACATCTGAGGTTTTACTTTAGAAAAAACAGCTCACAGCCAGTCCAAGCAAATATACATGGGTATCCCTGGCAGCGCACTGACCAGCCATACGAAACATGAGACAAGTCACAGCTAATGAGTCGTGGCTCGTGACATCATCGCCTGGCGCCGCTACTCCTTTCTGAGCTAGTGCATGGCCCCCATGTGTGCTGTTATCCGATGCTCATGTTACCGGACTCAGCCAGTCAACAGCTGGGGCAAACCCGGGTGGACCCCAGACCCAAGCCAGAGCCTGAGACAAGACTTAGAGCCAAAATCAGCTTTATTCTAGTGCACTATAGAATAAAGGGAGACAAAGGGGAACATTCAGTTCAAAGCAGTGTCCCAAAAGTTGCCCCCCGGTACATGCATTTCATACCCTAGCTAACCAATTAGGTCACCTAATACACATCTAATGCATCGATACATCAACGTATGCACCCCCTCCCGTGCTGGAGAAAGAGTCCTTTCTTCTGTCAAGGACCGGACATTTCCCATGTCTATCTCTTATCTGCTCCTGATTCACACAGGCTTGCCATGTTCTTACTCCCTGCACGTTTGCAACTTTCATGGCAGCTAAAACCAGTTTCCACTGTCCCATTGATTACTGTATTTGAGGTCAGGCCAGTGCGTTAGCTGAGGGTTACACAACGTTCATTTTGCTCTTCTCTGCCCTCCCTTCTGGGACAGTATGACTGTGGTGTTTTTGCTATGTGGCTTTCCTCTGGCCAACTACTTTTGGGGCCTTTCTCTGGCCAAATACTTTTGGGGTGTTTGGGGTGCTGCAATTGGCAACACTCTGCTCCTGGGGCGATGCTGGGGCGCCTTGGCTCGCCTTCTGACAGAGAGGGCTCTGCGTACCCACTGCAACACACGTGCCATCGCTTGGCCACCACTGGACTAGACGGGCAAGGGAGCAGAGGACTCTTCTGAACGAGGCCGTGCGGATGCCCGAGTGCCTCTGCTCCCATGGCCAAAGGAGGGGCCAGAGCTCCGCGGCGGGGGCTGAAAGGTGCCCCATGGCTTGAGGCTCCCGCTACCCCAGCACAACAGTAGCACCCTGTTCCCCCTGCCGAGACTGAGCGCCCAGGCCTGAGTGCCCGGTGCCCTTTGGGAGGTCGGGACCCACATCACACAGGGAGGGGCGGCCCTGGGGCTGCCTGTGCAGAGAACGCCTCTTGCGCGTTCAAGAAGACTTCCTCAAGTGGCGTTTGGCCTGGAGGACCGTCTGGAGAAGCGGTCCAGCCGGCCCCTCGTCCAGGGGCCTCTGCAGAGCTCAAGTGGCTGAGCTTCCTGAAAAGGCCTCCTGTCCATCCAGTCTCTCTTGGGCAGCCCTTCTGGAAGGTCGTGTCAGAAATCTATGATCTGCCCATCGGAAAAACGGTGCGGAAACAATACAGGGATCCACGGCAAGTTCTTTTCAACTTGCATCTGCACCAATTTTTATCCCACTGGGTTTGGCAGCTGTAACACTAATTTATTTATTTTAAAATAAGTTTTATTTGAAATTATAATCCTAAAAAACCACTAAAATAACATCCATCAAAAAAACATCGAGCCCGCTGGGTCAGTCCCCAAACCCTTTCTTTCCATTTATGATAGCTTAAAAACATATTTAAATCTGTGCGAAGTCCAGTATCTCTAGCCAATAATAAAAAGAGTCCCAAGTTCGATAGAAGTCAGTGTCTTCCTTCTCCTTCAATGATAAGGTCAATCTATCCATTTCTGCACAGTCCAGGATCTTTTTTAGAATGAGTTCGTCAGTGGGTAGTTCTTCACTTTTCCAGTATTGAGTAAATGCAATCCTCGCCGCAGTGATTACATGTTAAATCAAATACATTTCTTGTTTACTAATGTCCTCCAGTATAATGCCTAATAAAAAAGCTTCAGGTTTAAAAGCTTAAGGTTTTTGTAACATTTCCTCAAGCCAGTTATGTATTTTCACTTTATCACAAGTCCACCACTTCTGATAAAAAGTACCCAATTTATGTTTACATTTCCAACATCCATTTGCCATATTTGGAAACATCTTAGCTAATCTACTTGGTGACAGAAACCATCAATAAAACATTTTATACAAGCTTTCTTTATACGAAGATGGTAATGTTACCTTAATATTTCTCACCCATAACTTTTGCCACTTTTCTAATTCAACATTATATCCAAAATTTTGTGCCCACATTATCATGATTTGCTTAACCTGTTCATCTTCCATTTTCCTTTCAAGCAAAAAGTCATATAATCTTTTAATCATTTTCTCATCTGACTTAAGCATCACTTGATCAAACGCTGTTAAGTCCTTATAAAAACCCCACGCTTTTGAATCTTTAGCATATCTTGATTGTATCTGCACATTATGCCACCAATTCTTTCATTTATTTATTAAAAGCTTTTATACACCATCCCATTATTAGCATCTCAAGACGGTTTACAACACGCACAGATAAAGATGGCACAGCATCCAGCAATTCACACTAAAATCAGAAGTAAAACCAATTAAGGATCAAAATAATGGGAGAATGAAAAGGCTTTCGCCTGGCGCCAAAAAGAAAGAAGCACTGGCACCCAGCAAACCTCTCTGAGGAGCGTGTTCCAGAATGGGGCGCCACCACAGAGGAGGCCCTCCCCCAGTCAGTCTCTAATCCCTTTCAAGGAGGCCTCCCCAAGAAGGACCTCTGCCCCAGATGGCAGAGGGTGGGCAGGCCTATAGGGAAGAAAGCGCTCTTGCCGGTATCCGGGACCAAGCCATTTCTGGGGCATCACCAGCGCCTCCCATTGGCCTGGACTTCAATCGGCAGCCAGTGCAAGCAGGAGAGGACCGGCTTCGCATGGGAATGCCGGTCCCTCTGAATATCCCGGCTGCTCTATTCCGAACCAGCTGGAGTATCCGGATCCTCGTCAAGGGCCGCCCCACGCAGAGTGTGTTACAACAATCCGGTCGGGAATTGAGGCCGGGGTAATCGCTCTCACAGACTGCTGGCTGCATCCCAGGGCATTTCTTTGGAATCAGAAAGTCAAAGATGGAATTGGGGAGGATGAGCTAGCTCAAGATGGTCAGATGGAGGAGGATGAGGCAGAGGCAGAGGCGGGAAGCCCAACTGAATGAGCAGCGGGTGGAGAGAAGCACCCCCCCCCCGTGGGAATGGGACCCTCCTCTTCATAAGGAGAGTTCCTAGAGGTAAACACCAGACTGGGCTCAACAAAGTGCTCTGTACATGCTCAGAGATCCATTCTAGGTTATTTGTACTCATTTATTTATTCTTAATGCATGTACAAAAATATTTATGAATTAAATGCAAAATGCATCTAACTAAGAAAGTGTCCTGATCCATATTCTCACCATCTGTACAAATCTTTAAACCATGTAAAAAGAAAAAAGGTTGCTATCCCAGTTTCATCACATTAATAGATCAGTTGGTTGCCATTCCATTGTGAGGTTTATCCCACGTGTGAATTATTTATTTATGTCAAATTTCCCACAAAATGAACCATTTTAAACTTTCTTCCCTGTATGAAGTCTTTGATGAGAATTAAGCATTACCTTCTGAGTATTCCTCTTTCCACACTCAAAGTATTTATATGGTTTCTCTCCTGAGTGAATTCTTTGATGTAAAATCAGACTTCTCTTCTCAATGAAGCTCTTTGGACACTACAAACACTGATATGCTTTCTCCCCTGTCAGTTCTTTGATGTGAACGAAGGTACCTCTTCTGACTTAAGCTCATTGTACACTCCAAGCACTAATACGGCTTCTCCCCAGTGTGAGTTCTTTGATGCCGAGTGAGGTGCGTCCTCCGATTGAAGCTCCTTGGACACTCCGAACAATGATATGGCTTCTCCCCAGTGTGAATTCTTTGATGAGAAGTGAGGTGTGTCTTCCAACCAAAGCAGTTTGCACACTCCAGACACTGAAATGGCTTCTCCCCTGTGTGAATTCTTTGATGCTGCATGAGATGCTTCTTCCGACTGAAGCTCTTTGCACACTCCAGACACTGAAATGGCTTCTCCCCTGTGTGAATTCTTTGATGAGAAGTGAGAAGTGTCTTCTGACTGAAGCTCTTTGCACACATCAAACACTGATACGGTTTCTCCCCAGTGTGAATTCTTTGATGAAGTGTTAGAGTGCTCTTCTGACTGAAGCTCTTTGCACACTCCAAACAATGATATGGCTTCTCTGTATGAATTCTTTGATGAGAAGTTAGATGTGTCTTCTGACTGAAGCTCATTGCACACTCCAACCACTGATATGGCTTCTGCCCTGTGTGCATTCTTTGATGGGAAACCATCTTTGCCTTCTCAGTGAAGTTCTTTCCACACTCCATACATTCATACGATTTATTCTGTGTTTGAAGTTTGCTGTGTGCCTTATTGTTTGATTCAGAACCACACGATCTCTCGTTCACTTGGTCTGCATTCTTTTCTTGTCCAGTGTGTACCTCTTCTTGGATTGTGTCATGACAGCCACTGCCCTGCAGAGCAAGGCAATCATTCCTCCCATTGTGATTACCTTCAGTCTTCCTTCTTTGCTGGTCATAATTTTTCCATCTGTCTCTTTCCAGTGACATCCCATGTAGTTCTCTCCTATTCTCCTCTTCCCACCTGTCACCCCCTGAAAAGAGAGCAAAAATTTGGAAGAAGCCCATGTTAGCAGCAGTAGTTCAAATAACAGAGCACACTCACTACTGATTGCAATGAAGGGAAGAACCGGAAGGACTTTGATGGGATGCTGCTCTTAGAATGGGCTGAACTGCCTTAATGAACTCTCTGTGTTGCACAACAAATATTGCTGGGACTGTGTAGACCCAGGTTCAGCTTGGCAGGCAAACACTCATGAGATCACAGAGGCCTCTGCCATCTCTGCAAGCAGGAATGTTCCCAAGCTGACTCCATGGCCGGCTCACCTGTCAGAACAGGAATTT